AACGCCCACAGAGAATTTCAGAAATACGGCACGTGCGGACCGTTGGGCTGATCAAGCAATCCTGACCGTCGATGGAGCTGCTCAAGGCCGTCCGATTTCGCCTTCCTTCTTCGGCATTTTTCTAGAGGTGGCCGTTTCACGTATTTGCGTTGATTGATGTTTTACGACAGTATGTAATCTTCTATTTCAGATTTCTTTGAGAATTCTGGAAGAACGCATGCGATAACAAGGAGTTCCGTTTCCTCATTCTAGTCTCTAGAGCGCTTTAGCACCGGTTTCTAACCGTGTGTATGCATACGTGCGTATGTCCTTCTGTGCGTGTGTGTGTGCCCGAGCATATGTGTTGTCTGCGCGCACGTGCGCGTGTGTGTGTCTGCGCGCACGTGCGCATATGTGTGTCTGCGCGCACGTGCGCATGTGTTGTTTGCGCGCACGTGCGCATGTGTGTATGCGCGCGTATGTGCGCAGGAGATCAACCACGGGGGAGCGGGAGGGCTGTACGCGGAGCTGGTGCAAAACCGAGGCAAGCGGGGGCGGGTGAGGGATGCGGGGGAGAGCGGAAGGGGGGAAAGACGGCAGGGGGAAAAGGGAAGAGGGAAGGAGGATAGGGAGGAAAGAGTTCAGGGGGACAAAGGGTAGAGGGGAACAGGGGCAGAGGGGAGTGAGGCAGAGAGAAATACGGGAAAGGAGGGTTTGAAAGGGGGGAGGAGAATGGGGACAAGGGGAATAGATGAGAAAGGGAGGAAAGAGAGCCAAGTGGAATAGGAAAGCGCAATAACTGATGATCTTGTTACCAAACACCTCTGCTATACCCGTTAGTCCACGAACCCATACCCTCGTACACAATCTAAGTGCTGCTGCGACACCCACCATCTCCCATTCCCTCCCGCACCGTACCCCCATCCGTATGCTGACTGCAGGATTCGAGGCAGGCGGCCAGGAGACGCCCTCCACTATACATCTTTGAGAATTCTCAAAAATCGCTACATCCATCCATGGCTGCCCATCGGCTCCCAGCCCCACGTGCTGCTGCACACGGAGCGCTTCTCGCCCTTTCCGTGCGCAACTTCCATTCCTCCTCTTGTAAATTCCTTCCCTGGCCTCTGGCCTCTGGCCTCTGGCCTAACTAATCACTGCAGGCTTCGAAGCGGGCGGGCAGGAGACCCCCTCCACCATCCACCCGTGGCTGCCCATCGGCTCCCAGCCCCACGTGCTGCTGCGCACGGAGCGCTGCTCGCCCTTCCCGCGCAACCCCATCGCCCTGCGCGTCGACATCCACTGTGCCCCACCGCCATCCCCTGCTGGGGGCAGGCCCGCGCCTCAAGCACGGAGCGCGGGCGAGCAGCACCTGGAGCTCCCCTCGCAACGAAGGAAGAGGCAGCACGAGCGGGCTGTGGGCTGGGAGCCCGCCCTGGGACGGGGGGCAGCTGTCCGCCGGCTGTCTGCTGCACGTGGGCTGATTCATGGGGAGGGAGTGCACGGGCGTGTGGTGGAATCCCCTCCTTCGCCTGGGGGTGCTTCTGGGGTGGGCGTGTGGGCGGCTGTTAGGCAGTGGCTGGGGGGGCTGCTGGGGATGAGGCTGGGGGATGGAGACTCCCGGGGAGAACTGGTTGCGCGTCGCGTTGGTGGTGGTCGCTACAGGAGGGAGGGACACGGAGAGGAGGGGGAGGAGGGAGAGGATGGAGGGAAGGGAGAGGAGGGGGGGGCGTGTGAGGATGGTGTGGGGGTGCTCAATCCCGGCTACTGGGGCATGGTGAGGGGTCAACACGCGCCATCGTCCCATCATGCCATCATGCCATCATGCCCCATCATGCCCCATCATGCCCCACCATGCCATCATGCCATAAAGCGCCATCCGTCCACTGTCCCACCATCCCATTTCCCACCATCCCATGCCCCATTATCCCATGGCCCAACATGCCATGCCCCATCATGCCATCACCCGTCCCCTCATCAGAACATAGTGCAAGGCCGGGCGTACAGCATCATCCTGCATCCCCCTCTTCCCGCATTCTCTCTCACTCGTCATCCCACCATTCCACTTTTCCCGTCTTTTGAGGCGCCTCAAAAGTCATCCCACCATTCCACTATTCCCGTGCCCCATCAGAGCATAGAGCAAGGCCGTGCGAACAACATCATTCTGCATGCGCGTGCCACGGCTCCCCTCTCCCTCCACCTCTCCTTCCTCTGCTCGCCCACCCTCCCTCCCGCTCGCCCGCTCTCTTCCGTCCCCACCGTTGGGTCAGCCCATATCAGGTACGCTATATTCAGGGGCGTCCCGTCCACATGAGCCCCGTCGACATGAGCCGTCATTATCTCCACAATGCAGACTTGGAGATTCATCAGTTTTGAGAATTCTCATCAGTGATTCATTCATACCGCTCGTAAGGAAACTCCAACCCTCACCATGACACACCATGCCCTCACCACGTTCCCACCCTTTCCCACTTCTTCCCCTCCCATTTCACTGCCCCACTCTTTTGTCTGAAACCCATTTGCCATTATCACTCCCGTCCCCCTCTGATGCTGCCAGCCTCAACCAATCCATGGCTGCCACATGGCACCGCTACGAGGCCACCATCACTGCGACCGGCACGTGCCACAACGCCTCGCTGGCCATCACCACTGGCAGCATGACACGTGGCACTCTGTGGTTAGACCAGATTTCAGCCATGCCTGCAGAGACATTCAAGGTGAGTCTGATGCTTCTGAAGGATTGACATCGCATGCAGCATTTCTGAGGATCCTTAAAATAAGCATTGGGCATGGGGCATGGGGCATGGGGCATGGGGCATGGGGCATGGGGCATGGGGCATGGGGCATGGGGCATGGGGCATGGGGCATGGGGCATGGGGCATGGGGCATTGGGCATGGGGCATGCGCAAGGCTTGATAACCACTCCCCCAGCTTCATTCTTTACCTGGGTACCGCTACGCGGAGGGTGTGAGGCTGGTTGCTTGGAGGGGGCGAATGCCAACACCCATGCTCTTATGCACCTTTGCATCCCGTGTCCCACCCCCAGACAGGCCCACGGCATGCAGACAGGCCCACGGCATGCAGACAGGCCCACGGCATGCAGACAGGCCCACGGCATGCAGACAGGCCCACGGCATGCAGACAGGCCCACGGCATGCAGGCAGACATAGCAGCCATGCTGCAGGGCCTCTCCCCCGGCTTCATGCGCTTCCCTGGCAGCTGCTGCGTGGAGGGCGTGCGACTCGCCAATGCCATGGCCCCATGCACCCATGTTCCACCCCTCCACCCACAGGGCCATGGTATGCGCACAGACATAGCAACCATGCTTGAGAACCTCTCCCCCGGCTTCATGCGCTTCCCTGGCGGCTGCTACGTGGAGGGCGTGCGGTTGGCCAATGCGTTCCGCTGGCGCTCCACCATTGGTCCTTGGGAACTCCGCCCAGGCCACTTCAACGACCGGTGGGTGGATTTGTTACCTATATAACGACAGGTGGGACAAGTGGGTCTCCTTGCGCCTTCAGCTCCAGGGGAGTCTGCTGCCCATGCCGTGCGGTTGCCAATGCTCAAGGCCAATGCGCTCTGCCGGCACTCCACCATCAGCCCTTGGGAACTCCACACAGACCACTATAATGACAGGTGGGACAGGCAGATCTCATCTCGCTGTCACCTTGCCTACAGCTAGGGACTTTGAATAAGGGGTTCTTTGAATATATGCAGGTAGGTGCCTTAGTTCCAAAACGTGCGTGCCGCTCTTTCCCCCATCTTTCCCCCATCTTTCCCCCATCTTTCCCCCATCTTTCCCCCATGCGCACACCCCTCCGCCCCGACCCGTGCACGCCCCACCAGGTGGGGGTATTGGTCGGACGACGGGCTGGGCTTCTTCGAGTATCTTCAGTTTGCGGAGGACCTCGGCGCCACCCCCATCTGGGTGTTCAACAGCGGTGAGAGAGGGTGGGTGGGTGTTCAACAGCGGTGAGCGTGGGTGGGTGGGTGTTCAACAGCGGTGAGCGTGGGTGGGTGGGTGTTCAACAGCGGTGAGCGTGGGTGGGTGGGTGTTCAACAGCGGTGAGAGTGGGTGGGTGGGTGTTCAACAGCGGTAATCACATTTGGCTTGACCCAACAGCATGCATGTAACCTCCCTGCCTGCATTGGTGTCTCATACTCTCGCATGCACTCCCATCCCATGCAGGCAACAGCCACACAGACAGTGTGTCCACAGTCGCGCTCTCTCCCTTCATTCAGGTCACCCCATTCCCACCTCCCTCCTTCCCACCTCTCCCTCTTCAATGCCCTACCATGCACCCATGCCGTGCCATGCAGGCAACAGCCACACAGACAGCGTGTTCACAGGCGCCCTTGCTCCCTTCATTCAGGTCAGCTGCTCCCCCCCTCGTGCACCTACCTCCTCCCCACCTCTCCCTCTTTCCCCCCCTCGTCCCTCCATCCCACGTCTCCTCCTACTATGCACCTTCCTTTGTCCCAACTTAGACATTGAAAGGCAAGGAGATTTTGTTAAGTCCTGCAGACGTGTCTGCTTTGAGGAACATATCACATCTTTTGAGGCGCCTCAGACGTGTCTGCTTTGAGGAACATATCACATCACTCCTAAACGCCCACTCCCAAGCTCTCTCCCACTCCTCACCCTTCATCCTCTGTTGCTCCCTGCCACGTGGCGCCACAGGAGGTGCTTGATGGGATTGAGTTCGCACGAGGGCCGTCGGATTCACGGTGGGGAGCAGAGAGGGCGGCCATGGGCCATCCTGAGCCGTTCGATCTACGGCACGTGGGCATCGGGAATGAGAACTGCTACCAGGACAACTACCGAGGTGTGACAGTTTGTTTAGCAAGGGGAAGCAATTGTTTGATGATGTGATTTGATGGCACGTGGGCATCGGGAATGAGAAGTGCTACCAAGAGAATTACAAAGGTAAGGGCATGTGCATAATGAGGGGAAGCAGCAGTGAGAACTGCTACCAGGACAACTACCGAGGTGATGAAGAGCAACGAGGGGAAGCAAGTGTGTGATGATTCGACTGTATGTGAACGAGTGGGGTGGTCACGTGGGCTCGTGGGCACGTGGGCTCGTGGGCACGTGGGCTCGTGGGCACGTGGGCTCGTGGGCACGTGGGCTCGTGGGCACGTGGGCTCGTGGGCACGTGGGCTCGTGGGCACGTGGGCTCGTGGGCACGTGGGCTCGTGGGCACGTGGGCTCGTGGGCACGTGGGCTCGTGGGCACGTGGGCTCGTGGGCACGTGGGCTCGTGGGCACGTGGGCTCGTGGGCACGTGGGCTCGTGGGCACGTGGGCTCGTGGGCACGTGGGCTCGTGGGCACGTGGGCTCGTGGGCACGTGGGCTCGTGGGCACGTGGGCTCGTGGGCACGTGGGCTCGTGGGCACGTGGGCTCGTGGGCACGTGGGCTCGTGGGCACGTGGGCTCGTGGGCACGTGGGCTCGTGGGCACGTGGGCTCGTGGGCACGTGGGCTCGTGGGCACGTGGGCTCGTGGGCACGTGGGCTCGTGGGCACGTGGGCTCGTGGGCACGTGGGCTCGTGGGCACGTGGGCTCGTGGGCACGTGGGCTCGTGGGCACGTGGGCTCGTGGGCACGTGGGCTCGTGGGCACGTGGGCTCGTGGGCACGTGGGCTCGTGGGCACGTGGGCTCGTGGGCACGTGGGCTCGTGGGCACGTGGGCTCGTGGGCACGTGGGCTCGTGGGCACGTGGGCTCGTGGGCACGTGGGCTCGTGGGCACGTGGGCTCGTGGGCACGTGGGCTCGTGGGCACGTGGGCTCGTGGGCACGTGGGCTCGTGGGCACGTGGGCTCGTGGGCACGTGGGCTCGTGGGCACGTGGGCTCGTGGGCTCGTGGGCTCGTGGGCACGTGGGCTCGTGGGCACGTGGGCTCGTGGGCACGTGGGCTCGTGGGCACGTGGGCTCGTGGGCACGTGGGCTCGTGGGCACGTGGGCTCGTGGGCACGTGGGCTCGTGGGCACGTGGGCTCGTGGGCACGTGGGCTCGTGGGCACGTGGGCTCGTGGGCACGTGGGCTCGTGGGCACGTGGGCTCGTGGGCACGTGGGCTCGTGGGCACGTGGGCTCGTGGGCACGTGGGCTCGTGGGCACGTGGGCTCGTGGGCACGTGGGCTCGTGGGCACGTGGGCTCGTGGGCACGTGGGCTCGTGGGCACGTGGGCTCGTGGGCACGTGGGCTCGTGGGCACGTGGGCTCGTGGGCACGTGGGCTCGTGGGCACGTGGGCTCGTGGGCACGTGGGCTCGTGGGCACGTGGGCTCGTGGGCACGTGGGCTCGTGGGCACGTGGGCTCGTGGGCACGTGGGCTCGTGGGCACGTGGGCTCGTGGGCTCGTGGGCTCGTGGGCACGTGGGCTCGTGGGCACGTGGGCTCGTGGGCTCGTGGGCTCGTGGGCTCGTGGGCTCGTGGGCACGTGGGCTCGTGGGCTCGTGGGCTCGTGGGCACGTGGGCTCGTGGGCACGTGGGCTCGTGGGCACGTGGGCTCGTGGGCACGTGGGCTCGTGGGCACGTGGGCTCGTGGGCACGTGGGCTCGTGGGCACGTGGGCTCGTGGGCACGTGGGCTCGTGGGCACGTGGGCTCGTGGGCACGTGGGCTCGTGGGCACGTGGGCTCGTGGGCACGTGGGCTCGTGGGCTCGTGGGCTCGTGGGCACGTGGGCTCGTGGGCACGTGGGCTCGTGGGCACGTGGGCTCGTGGGCACGTGGGCTCGTGGGCACGTGGGCTCGTGGGCTCGTGGGCTCGTGGGCACGTGGGCTCGTGGGCACGTGGGCTCGTGGGCTCGTGGGCTCGTGGGCTCGTGGGCTCGTGGGCACGTGGGCTCGTGGGCACGTGGGCTCGTGGGCACGTGGGCTCGTGGGCTCGTGGGCTCGTGGGCACGTGGGCTCGTGGGCACGTGGGCTCGTGGGCACGTGGGCTCGTGGGCACGTGGGCTCGTGGGCACGTGGGCTCGTGGGCACGTGGGCTCGTGGGCACGTGGGCTCGTGGGCACGTGGGCTCGTGGGCACGTGGGCTCGTGGGCACGTGGGCTCGTGGGCACGTGGGCTCGTGGGCACGTGGGCTCGTGGGCACGTGGGCTCGTGGGCACGTGGGCTCGTGGGCACGTGGGCTCGTGGGCACGTGGGCTCGTGGGCACGTGGGCTCGTGGGCACGTGGGCTCGTGGGCACGTGGGCTCGTGGGCTCGTGGGCTCGTGGGCACGTGGGCTCGTGGGCACGTGGGCTCGTGGGCACGTGGGCTCGTGGGCACGTGGGCTCGTGGGCACGTGGGCTCGTGGGCACGTGGGCTCGTGGGCACGTGGGCTCGTGGGCACGTGGGCTCGTGGGCACGTGGGCTCGTGGGCACGTGGGCTCGTGGGCACGTGGGCTCGTGGGCACGTGGGCTCGTGGGCACGTGGGCTCGTGGGCACGTGGGCTCGTGGGCACGTGGGCTCGTGGGCACGTGGGCTCGTGGGCACGTGGGCTCGTGGGCACGTGGGCTCGTGGGCACGTGGGCTCGTGGGCACGTGGGCTCGTGGGCACGTGGGCTCGTGGGCACGTGGGCTCGTGGGCACGTGGGCTCGTGGGCACGTGGGCTCGTGGGCTCGTGGGCTCGTGGGCACGTGGGCTCGTGGGCACGTGGGCTCGTGGGCACGTGGGCTCGTGGGCACGTGGGCTCGTGGGCACGTGGGCTCGTGGGCACGTGGGCTCGTGGGCACGTGGGCTCGTGGGCACGTGGGCTCGTGGGCTCGTGGGCTCGTGGGCACGTGGGCTCGTGGGCACGTGGGCTCGTGGGCTCGTGGGCTCGTGGGCTCGTGGGCTCGTGGGCACGTGGGCTCGTGGGCTCGTGGGCTCGTGGGCACGTGGGCTCGTGGGCACGTGGGCTCGTGGGCACGTGGGCTCGTGGGCACGTGGGCTCGTGGGCACGTGGGCTCGTGGGCACGTGGGCTCGTGGGCACGTGGGCTCGTGGGCACGTGGGCTCGTGGGCACGTGGGCTCGTGGGCACGTGGGCTCGTGGGCACGTGGGCTCGTGGGCACGTGGGCTCGTGGGCACGTGGGCTCGTGGGCTCGTGGGCTCGTGGGCACGTGGGCTCGTGGGCACGTGGGCTCGTGGGCACGTGGGCTCGTGGGCACGTGGGCTCGTGGGCACGTGGGCTCGTGGGCTCGTGGGCTCGTGGGCACGTGGGCTCGTGGGCACGTGGGCTCGTGGGCTCGTGGGCTCGTGGGCTCGTGGGCTCGTGGGCACGTGGGCTCGTGGGCACGTGGGCTCGTGGGCACGTGGGCTCGTGGGCTCGTGGGCTCGTGGGCACGTGGGCTCGTGGGCACGTGGGCTCGTGGGCACGTGGGCTCGTGGGCACGTGGGCTCGTGGGCACGTGGGCTCGTGGGCACGTGGGCTCGTGGGCACGTGGGCTCGTGGGCACGTGGGCTCGTGGGCACGTGGGCTCGTGGGCACGTGGGCTCGTGGGCACGTGGGCTCGTGGGCACGTGGGCTCGTGGGCACGTGGGCTCGTGGGCACGTGGGCTCGTGGGCACGTGGGCTCGTGGGCACGTGGGCTCGTGGGCACGTGGGCTCGTGGGCACGTGGGCTCGTGGGCACGTGGGCTCGTGGGCACGTGGGCTCGTGGGCACGTGGGCTCGTGGGCACGTGGGCTCGTGGGCACGTGGGCTCGTGGGCACGTGGGCTCGTGGGCACGTGGGCTCGTGGGCACGTGGGCTCGTGGGCACGTGGGCTCGTGGGCACGTGGGCTCGTGGGCACGTGGGCTCGTGGGCTCGTGGGCTCGTGGGCACGTGGGCTCGTGGGCACGTGGGCTCGTGGGCTCGTGGGCTCGTGGGCTCGTGGGCTCGTGGGCACGTGGGCTCGTGGGCTCGTGGGCTCGTGGGCACGTGGGCTCGTGGGCACGTGGGCTCGTGGGCACGTGGGCTCGTGGGCACGTGGGCTCGTGGGCACGTGGGCTCGTGGGCACGTGGGCTCGTGGGCACGTGGGCTCGTGGGCACGTGGGCTCGTGGGCACGTGGGCTCGTGGGCACGTGGGCTCGTGGGCACGTGGGCTCGTGGGCTCGTGGGCTCGTGGGCTCGTGGGCTCGTGGGCTCGTGGGCTCGTGGGCACGTGGGCTCGTGGGCACGTGGGCTCGTGGGCTCGTGGGCTCGTGGGCTCGTGGGCTCGTGGGCACGTGGGCTCGTGGGCTCGTGGGCTCGTGGGCACGTGGGCTCGTGGGCACGTGGGCTCGTGGGCACGTGGGCTCGTGGGCACGTGGGCTCGTGGGCACGTGGGCTCGTGGGCACGTGGGCTCGTGGGCACGTGGGCTCGTGGGCACGTGGGCTCGTGGGCACGTGGGCTCGTGGGCACGTGGGCTCGTGGGCACGTGGGCTCGTGGGCACGTGGGCTCGTGGGCTCGTGGGCTCGTGGGCACGTGGGCTCGTGGGCACGTGGGCTCGTGGGCTCGTGGGCTCGTGGGCTCGTGGGCTCGTGGGCACGTGGGCTCGTGGGCTCGTGGGCTCGTGGGCTCGTGGGCTCGTGGGCACGTGGGCTCGTGGGCTCGTGGGCTCGTGGGCTCGTGGGCTCGTGGGCATGTGGGCATCGGGAGTGAGAACTGCTATCAACTACCAAGGTGATGCAGTGGTGGTGAAGGGAATGAGTTGGTTATTCCATGACATGATGCATCACAGTGCTTCCTGCCTTGATGACATGATGCATCACCGTGCTTCCTGCCTTGATGACATGATGCATCACCGTGCTTCCTGCCTTGCCATGCCTTCCAAGCTCGCGGCCTCCTCTCACCCAATCATACCTGCTCGTTTCACCACCTTCCAGGCAACTTCCTCCGTTTCCGGGCGGCAATCAAGGCGGCTTACCCAGACATGGCAGTGGTGTACACGTGTGACGTCAGCAAGGGGCCTCCTGACCACCCGCCTACCGACCTCTACGATTTCCATGTAAAGGGGGGCGGGAGGGAAAGAGGGGTTGCATTGGGCGGCCTGCCGTGTGCTGTGGGTTTCTGGTTTGTGCTGACACAACGACTGCCCGCGATGCTGTGCGGTGCTATTGGTGGGTGTGCGGTGCCGAACCTCTTTGGCATCTCAGGCAATACATTTTCTTGGCCTTACTATGTTTATGATCCTTCCTGTATGCATCTGTTCATCTGCGTGCATGCATGTGTGTGTTTGCGTGCATGCATGTGTGTTTGCGTGCATGCATGTTAGCCTCTCTCATGTTTTTCCGCATCCATCTCTGAATGTTTGCACACATGTATGCACGCATGTATGCACGCATGTATGCACGCATGTATGCATGGTTCCTTGTCTCGCAGTCCTATGGAACAGCAGAGGGCATCTTCAGTTTGGGTCATTATTTTGATGACATCAGCAGGGATGGACCCAAGGTGATGTGGCATGCAGGGATGGACCAAAGGTGACGTGGCATGCAGGGATGGACCAAAGGTGACGTGGCATGCAGGGATGAACCAAAGGTGACGTGGCATGCAGGGATGGACCATAGGTGACGTGGCATGCAGAAATGGTCCGCTTGTGTGTTCGCCTGTGCCATGAATTCTTAAATCCCCTTTCCCCTCTCCTCGCTCATGTCCCCCTCTCTCCCCTCTCCCCTCTTCCCTTTCCCCTCTCCCATCTCCCATCTCCTCTCTCCCTTTCTTCGCTCAAATCTCACCACTCACCACTCACCCTCCACCCCTCACCCCTCCCTCAAAGCACCTCTTCTCCCGTTGGGCTTTTTTGAGCAAGTTTGCAGTGCAAGGAGGGGAAGGATGGAAGTGAGAGTGTTTCCCTTCTTCCGTCATTGCTCTCCTCTCTCCCCTTCCCCCTCCCCCCTCTCCCCTCTCCCCTCTCTCCCCTCACCTCTTCTCCCAGCAGGCCTTTCTAAGCGAGTTCGCAGTGCAGGGGGGGGAGGGGACGGCAACGTGCGGGCAGCAGTGGCAGAGGCGGGGTTTCTCATCGGGCTGGAGAGGAACAGGTGGGCGTTCCCCGTTAGTCACGTGATGTCCTGGCATTTGAACTCTGTTTGCTGAGATGGCAGCGGAAGGGGGAGGGGATGGCAATGTGTGTGCAGCAGCAGTGGCAGAAGCGGGTTCCTTCGTTGGCCTGGAGAGGAACAGGTGGGGATCTGCTGCTCCCTCGTGCTGCTCTCTCTTGCTACCTTCTCTTAAAGGACGCGAGTGATGCTCTCCTCAAGATTCCTCCTCTATCTTTCCTGCATGTGTCTCCGCAGACACGCATGTGTCTCCGCAGACACATGCAGTCAAGGCGTGCATGTGTGTGCACTAGTTCCCCCTGCTGACCACCAACATGCACGTCTTGACTTCACTTGTTTTGAAACATCTTAGAACTACTTTTTTTTTCCCCCCCTTCTGACCATCAACGTGCATGGCCTGGCTTGACCTATCATGTGATGCTTGCTCAATACTCCCCCCGCTCCTTCATCTGCTCTGATGTAATGGAAAGCTCTGCACCTCTGCTGGCCAATGTGCATGACTTGACTTGACTTTGTTTGACTTGACTTGATTAGATTGCACACGTCCTGTTGTGCTGCTCCTTCATCCCCACCTCTCCTCATTTTGCAGCGACGTGGTGTTATGGTCAGCTGTGCGCCCCTGCTGGTCAACGTGCATGACTTGACTTGACTTGACTTGACTTGACTTGACTTGACTTGACTATTGCACACCCATCCACACCCCTCCGTCTACCCCCATTTTGCAGCGATGTGGTGGCAATGGTCAGCTACGCACCACTGCTGGTTAACGTGCATGACCGGAGGTGAGGGAGGGGTGGAGATTGGATGTGAGAGGAGTTGAGAGGATCGAAAAAGCATAATTCTCTCAACTCCTTCCATCCTCTCATGGGAATTATGGGAATTATGGGAATTATGAGAGCATAACTCCCAATTTATTTTATGCTTTGAAGCTTATCGCCTCTGCAGCAGCACCCCCTGCCACTAGCACCACCACTCCTTTCCTTCTAATGCCTCCTCCACCTCCTCCCATCCCTCCATGTTCCCCCAGCTGGATCCCTTGACCTCATTGCCTTATACGTGGCATTCCAAGCTACTATCTGCACCATTTGTTACAATGCTCCAACTCACCCCTGGGGGGCCCTGTCTCTGTTCTTGATTCTTACCATCCATTCTCCCCCAACACATATTTCCCTTCAATGTGTTCCCCCAGCTGGACGCCTGACCTCATTGCCTTTGACTCGCACCGCCTCTACGGCACGCCCAGCTACTGGCTTCACCGCATGTTTCAACGCTCCAAGGGAGGCTCGCTGCTTCCCTCCCGCCTCTCCCTCTCCTCCTCCTCCTCCTCCTCCTCCTCATCCTCCTCCTCCTCCTCCTCCTCCTCCTCCTCCTCCTCCTCCTCCTCCTCCTCCTCCTCCTCCTCCTCCTCCTCCTCCTCCTCCTCCTCCTCCTCCTCCTCCTCCTCCTCCTCCTCCCCCCTAGTTTCAAATGCACTGCTCCTGAATCTGACAACCACCACTGACGATGGACCTTCCTCAGACGTCGCCTCCACCCTCCGAGCTGCTGAGGCTGCTGCTGATGGGCCTATTGCAAGTCGGTTTGAAGCATCGGCTGTTCGAATCAGAAGAGGCAGCAACCCAGCGTCAGCAGCTATTCTTGTGAAGGTTCGAACCTCTCCCTCCATCTCTTTCTCACTTCTCTCCTATAGGGAACGGTGGCCTTCTTGTGGTGCCTGTAACAGCTGATTCGTTTTGAGGAGCCTCAATACTGCTACTCTACTTCATGACCAGTGACACATTCGACTCCTTTTTGAGGCGCCTCAAAAATCAACTTTCTGCTACTCTACTTCATGACCAGTGACACATTCGACTCCTTTTTGAGGCGCCTCAAAAATCAACTTACTGCTACTCTACTTCATGACCAGTGACACATTCGACTCCTTTTCGAGGCGCCTCAAAAATCAACTTACTGCTACTCTACTTCATGACCAGTGACACATTCGACTCCTTTTGTGAGGCGCATCAAAAATCAACTTACTGCTACTCTACTTCATGACCAGTGACACATTCGACTCCTTTTTGAGGCGCCTAAAATATCAACTTACTGCTACTCTACTTCATGACTAGTGACACATTCGACTCCTTTTTGAGGCGCCTAAAATATCAACTTACTGCTACTCTACTTCATGACCAGTGACACATTCAACTCCTTTTTGAGGCGCCTCAATAATCAACTTACTGCTACTCTACTTCATGACCAGTGACACATTCGACTCCTTTTCGAGGCGCCTCAAAAATCAACTTACTGCTACTCTACTTCATGACCAGTGACACATTCGACTCCTTTTGTGAGGCGCATCAAAAATCAACTTACTGCTACTCTACTTCATGACCAGTGACACATTCGACTCCTTTTTGAGGCGCCTAAAATATCAACTTACTGCTACTCTACTTCATGACCAGTGACACATTCGACTCCTTTTTGAGGCGCCTAAAATATCAACTTACTGCTACTCTACTTCATGACCAGTGACACATTCGACTCCTTCATCGGCTTTCCTGAAGGCTTCTCGTGATGCTCGCAACAGCTGAACACCTCACTGTGCATGCTCCACGAGAAGCTCCACGAGAAGCTCCACGAGAAGCTCCACGAGAAGCATTCGTGAACACCTCACTGTGCATGCTCCACGTGCCTGAACCACTGCAGTCAGTCAACTTCCAGCCAGCAGCAGTGACCCTTCATGTGGACCAGCAGGGAGCACCTCCCTCGGGCGCAGTGCTACTCACTGCTGCTCTTCATGCCCCATCCAATGCACCCCAACCCACTCACCCTCTCCAGGCAGCCAACTTCCAGCCAGCAGCAGTGACCCTTCATGTGGACCTGCAGGGAGCACCTCCCTCGAGCGCAGTGCTACTCACTGCTGCTCTTCATGCCCCATCCAATGCACCCCAACCCACTCACCCTCTCCAGGCAGCCAACTTCCAGCCAGCAGCAGTGACCCTTCATGTGGACCTGCAGGGAGCACCTCCCTCGGGCGCAGTGCTACTCACTGCTGCTCTTCATGCCCCATCCAATGCACCCCAACCCACTCACCCTCTCCAGGCAGCCAACTTCCAGCCAGCAGCAGTGACCCTTCATGTGGACCTGCAGGGAGCACCTCCCTCGGGCCCAGTGCTGCTCACTCGCCTCTCCAGCCCCTCGGGGAATCCCGAGGATGAAAACTCACTTGACGACCCGGTTAAGGTCAGTGCTACATCTGGTGAGAGTATTTTTTGGGAAGTCTCAAAAGTAGCCTGCAATACTGATGATGAAAACTCCTTTGAGGACCCGGTTAAGGTCAGTGCTACATCTCGCGAAAGTCATTTCTGACGTGCCTTGAATGTCGCCTTGCACAGGGCAGTTTCACAAATGTAAAATTATTGTTATTAAGTGCCTCATTTGTTGCCCTGTGGAGGTGATGCATAAATCTTTCAGTAATATTGTCAGCATCCATGCTACAGTCTTATTCTTGTTGTGGCAACATTGGGAAAAACCCTGCCCAATTCCATTGAGTAAATCCATCCCACGAACGTTGGAATTGCTTCTGAGAAGTCTCAAGAGCAACTCCAATATATCATTGTGTAAATGCGTCTCATTTAGGTACAAGGGAGTGTCATCCTCATCTATCCAAGCTAGACTAATGTGATGTTGTAAACACCTGATGGTTCCCGCCTGCTTCATTCACCTGTTGCATGGTATTGCTGCTGTCTCTGGTGGTGATACAATTCTTGTCTTGTTAAATGATTTGCATCTACAACCCCTCCACTTCCCACTCAGGTTTTTCCCACTCCGGATGTGCAGAATATCACCGCGCTAACATATTTGATACCGTCGATGTCAGCAGTTACAGTTGAGCTCCCTATTATGGACCCCTAGATGCTGTAGTAGTGCTCCCGTTTGCAAGGACCTGCTAGATTGCATGTCTTTGAGGATAGAAATAGCACACACATACAGTACAGTGAATGGCACATGTGTAAGATTGTAATATGTGATTTACTGCTCTGCGAGCGCATGGTGAGGTGAGTTCCTTGCGGAGGCCGTGTGAAGACTATTAGGCAAAGCGTACAATATATCGCACAGTCGGTACAGTGGTGGCAGTCTCAGGGTACGTTCCTGGCGCGTGTCAAACTTCCGGTCTTCTGGGGATAACACGAAGCTGGCCCCACTTCGGGTCATGCGAGACCAACTTCGGGTCTTCCAGCTAAAATTCGCCCCTGTTTCTGAAAGACTCGAAGTTTGACAGGAAGTTTGACCTAAACCTTTGGGTCTTCCCGGGAAGACCAGAAGTTTGACACACGCCAGGATCGCACCCTCAGTGATTAATCAGAAGGCAAAGTATACACAATTTTGGTCTGCCCAGTTTCGACAGCCTGCCGATTGCATTTGGTACCAGCCAGTTGCACGCACGATACAAGCCCCTATTTTGATCGCAGCCGTTGAGCATACAGACAATCAAGCTGGCATCCGTCCGTTCTTGAGATATTTTGAAGCCGCTGGTTACATTTCTTCACCTGCCCACTACAGTCCCGATTTTGCCCGTGGCGAAGGTTGGCGAGCAGGCGAAATGGTTGTTGCTCACTAAACACCCAAATCACGGGTAAGTTGTATCTAACGGGCAACCTGTGTACGGTTCGTACCCACCAAGCCTAGACCGAGCCAAAAGTTCGGCCTTTGGCCTTCTCGAAGCTATCCATCCCGCTAAGATATGCTTGGCAGTGATGGTCGAATCACGACGCACCAAGTCTTGCCAGCTATCACGCGCACACCTGGTGGATGGCCTGCCGTGGATTTACTGACAAGGATTACAGTACACCGTCCAGGTCGAATCGAGGCTCGATGAACATTTGGGGAGTGTACTGTATCGAGCAGCTCCAGAGGATGGTACACCCTATTCGCGATAATTTCACACCCTTTAAACGAACACCCTGGGTGTACATACCCGGGATACAAACATTATTGTAGGGTAGTTCGCTGCGAAATATTGAACAGCTGTTGGTGTTCCGAAACCCAGTCGCGTATAGTTCTAAGCATTAAAAACTTCAGTCGTGCCTGCCCAACCCCGTCCTCACTCGGAACACATGGTGTAATTTCAAGGGAAACTGCATCTCGCTGTCGACTGATAGTCCTTGAGTTTCAGGGTGTCCGTCATATCGAGCCTGAATCGGTATAGGGCACCTTCAAAAAAGAAGGTAGGGGGTGTGCAATTATCGCGAATAGGGTGTACGGGGCTGACCCTGGAAGGGTGTCCTGAATCTTGATCCAAGGCCCAGTACCTTCCGAAGTGGCAGAGGCGAGCAAAAGACTCGTGAAATACAGAGATTTCCAGTACAATCTGGAATTACACTGCACCGTTCGTGGTTCTGTTTTTGCCTAGCCAATCCATCCATCCACCCATTGATGGAAAGGAGAGAAATCATCACGAAGCTCATCATCCGCCAAAACCAAACTCAACGGTCCTTTCTTCCACAACCCTCACCCTGCCATGGCGGCGTCATCCCTCCTCTCTGGTGGCATTCACGCCAGCCCCGCTACGCCCGAATCTGCGACCACCGCATTTACCCCCTCGCGACAATCTAGCCAGTGGTTGAAGAGGGAGGAGCGCGAGAGGTTTCGCCACCTCAGTCCTTTTGGAGCAGCTTTCGCCACCTCACCATGAGCATTCGACCTACAGGGTGTAGCTCCGTCACAAATTTGAGGAAATGTACTATTCATGGTTAGGTTTCGCTGACCTTCCATTATACTTGCTCCGAATTTTAGATCCTTTTGGATCTCCGCTACACGTAATATTCCTAGGTCCTCCGAGTTTGTTTGAGTTTCTGTACCTGCGTCGTCGTCATTCTCGTCGTCAGAGCCCGAGTCGCATGGCCTGTGACCCACTGTCGTCAGATGGCGGAGGCTGCGAGCTCTCTGACGTGCCAATGGCTCCTGCGACGGCCATTCCGCGCGATTTATGGACCGTCGTTCAGTCCGGTGTGGCGCCGCGCGACGTCGTCGTGGGGTCGCTGCACGATCGCAAACGGCGGTCGCCTCAGTACGACGGTCGTGGCGCGTTCAACCTCGCAGGTCGTGATCCCTCGCCCGCTCCGATGAACACGTCACGCGCCATTCACGCAGATGCGCCTCGCACGATTCATGCACGCATGGCCGCCGACCCGTCTTCAGGAACGAGGTCTCCCCCACGACCGTTACCTAGCTTCACTCAGCCACCACCGCCGAAGCCGGAAGCAATGCTAGCGTTTAGAAGATCAGCCGCAAACGAAGCCAGAGATCTTGCCACCGAGCCGTTCGATCTTGCCACCGAGCCGTTCGATCTTGCCATCGCGGCGCGACCGCTTCTAGATCCACGCAGTATAGCTCTCGAGAGTGACATGGCCCGTGCCACGTGTCCTTCATCGGCAGCTGGCGGATCGTTTCTCCCGCGCCTCGACCGGATCCACATAAACCGCGACGCGCATTCCCCAGGTATCGCCTTTCTCAGTCGCGACCGCCCCCGTCCCGCGCAGCAGCACGAGTTAGGGTCATCCGCGTCCGCGCCGCACGGCTCTCTTCCGTTGACACTGCGGTGCTCGTGGATGTGGGAGCAACCGATTCAGTCAAGTCAACCGAGTCAACGGAGTCAACCGCGTCAACTGCTCGACTTGAATCAGTCCACAGACGAACCGCCACTCTCGGTCCCCATGCCAAATCAGGGAGCGCATCGTGCCGCATCGTCACTCCCCTCCCGCCGCTCGCCAACGGCCTTGGCGCTCTCGTCGCAGCGCGCATTCGCCCAAGACGACTGGGGGCAGGCTGTGCACTCGCCCAAGAAGCCACGTGGCAGTCCCGAGGCGATCGGGCGGCAGGCGTTGGCTCTAGCGGTCAGCGACCGGGAGGAGGTGATTTTCCAGAGGCGGCGCGAACAGCGGCTGCGGATTCTGGGCGGCTTGAGACCCGCGCTCGACGAACCGGCGGCGGCTTGCGCGGCTGCCGCTGCCGGCCCCGACGGGCAAATCCCGCTGCTAGTGCTTCGCCAGGGTCCGTTCAGTTGCCGAATATCAAGTCGTGCTTGTAACGCGGAAAAGGCTAGTAGTCAGGGGGGTGTGACTGAAATGAGAGTAAAGGGATCAATCAGGACAGGAGGGGGCGCGGTTGAGGGGGGCGACACAACCGCCGCCGGATTCGCACCAGGGGAGGGGGGCGAGGGAGGCGCAAACGACGGGGGCGGCGGGGTAGGAAGGCAGAGCGACGAGGAGCGCAATGGAGCTGGCGCATTGGCGGAGCCGCGAACTCGGGGGTTGACATTGGCGGTGGAATTCCGCTCGACGATGCGCGTGGAGGTTACTAGTCCGCACGCCGCCGCGCTCGCGTCGCTCGATGCGCCCAAGGCCCTCCCGTTTCTCGCTGCGCCATTTGCGCCGCTTCCGGCGGGCTGGAAGCAGCAAAGGCGCGTGCGAGCGCGCTCTGCCTTTGAAAGCCGTGACCTGATTGGCGGTGGGGCGGAAGGCTTTCCCAGCTCCCCAGGGCAGGCGGAGATGCTTGCGGAAGGCGCGTTGCGCTCGCCCGCGCGTGCGCGGGAAGCTACGGAATGCGGAAAGCGCGCTCAGAAACGGCGGAATAGCAGCGAATGGGAGCTGTACGCGAGCGGGGAAGAGGCGCGCGGGGAATGGGGGCGCGGGGAAACGGGCGGGCCGGCGGACACCGGGCGCGGCGGAAGGAGTAGCAGGGGCGGAGATTCGAGCGTAGAGACTCGGCGGGATGGTACTGGGCAGGGGGAGGGGGGAGGGGAGGCGGAACGAGGATGGCAGCACGAGGTGGAGTCGAGGGGAGGAGCGCGGGAGGAGAGGGAGAAGGAAGGAGCGAGGGAGGAGATGGAGAAGGAAGGAGCGAGGGAGGAGATGGAGAAGGAAGGAGCGAGGGAGGAGGAATGGGAGTGGGAACGAGCAGAGGTGAGGTGGGAAGAGGGACAGGGGACATTTGACATATTGACCTGGGAAAAGGGGCAGGGACAGGGGCAGGGGCAGGGGCAGGGGCAGGGGCAGGGGCAGGGGCAGGGGCAGGGGCAGGGGCAGGGGCAGGGGCAGGGGCAGGGGCAGGGGCAGGGGCAGGGGCAGGGGCAGGAGGCGGAGATGCAATGGCAAACGATTGGTCCTCCGTGGTTAACGCCTGGGCACGCAGAGCAGCAGCAGCTAGAGCAGAAGAAGGGGCAGGGGGAGGAGCAGCAGCAGTGGTGGCAGCAGGGGGGAGTGAGAAAGCAGCATGAGCTGGACGGGCTGGTAGAGGGTGTGAGGGCGCCGCTGGTCCCTTACCTGCGCTCCACAAGCCAGTCACACCCATGCTCGCCCCTCATTCTGACTCCATTCTCGGCCCCACACACACATGATAGGTTGCTGGGTGGAGCTGGGGGGAGGGGGGGTGCTGCTGCGGCCCACCGCAGGGCAGGCAGCTCTGTGCCCATTCTGGGCGGCACACTGGCGGTGACCTGTGGTGGCCACATGGGCAGTGAGAGTGGAGGGGTTTTGTCTTCTTCTGGGGTGGCTGGGGGTGCTGCTGGTTTCCCTCTGTGGGTGAGAAACAGCGAGGCAGAATCGTATCTGCACTCTGCCGCCCAACCAGTGCTGCTTGCTGAGAGTATGGGGGAGTCATAAGAAGGGTTGTAAGAGCCGCAGATACCACTACTGCGGGCCAGACTGGCGTAGACCAGACTGGTGCTCGTGCTGCTGCCTCTATTGTTGATAGCTCGTGCACACCCCTTTTAGGGTACTCCCATACCTCCTCCCTCCATTCCTCAACCGGTTCTGTTCTTCCTGCTCCCGAACTCCCCCATGTAGATCACCCTAGGGATTTCAAGATCCCGTGTAGAAACTGGGTTGGGTGTAGCAAATAGAGGCTGGATGGAAACACAAAGCACAAGGGTGCTCGTACCGTATTCCCCCGGACATACCACCCCCCGAAATAGAGCACCCCCCGGGTGGCTTGTGCGGGGGGGGTGCTATAGCGGGCCTCGTTTCTACTATACCCCCCCTTTTGGGGGCATCCTATATAGCACCCGGGGGGGGGGGGTGTTATGTACGGGTATAATTGCAGTTTTTGCCTAAGTAGCACAGGGTTTCCAATGATAATCCATCTACAAGTTAACATTAGCAGAAACAAGCTACATATGACGCAATACAGCGCTAACACTCCCATCACACAGCAAGGTGGAATGGAGTTCAGCGCAATACATTGCTCGAGTTCGTGTAATGGAGCCGCTGCACAGAAAGAAGGATCAACTCCTTCATAGTTCAATGACGTGCCCGCCCAGCGAGGCAACCGAGGCTGTTGCGGGGACTCCGCCATTGTCACCTGCATGAATCCTCGTCGTGCGACGAGGGGGTGTGATTTCGTCCAATCAGGGCCTGACAGTGGGCCTTGTTGGAGCTTGCAATGTGGCAGCTAACCCTCGCGCAAAACGTTATCGCCCAGTCCTCGGTTTTGCGCACCCAACCAGCAATCTACCACCACGGCACAGATGTACATTTAGTACTAAACGTTTTACGCTATAAAAAAAATATACATTATGTAAAGACCCGGGTGCAATGTAGCTTTTTCCGATGACAAGACCCCCCCTCCCCCCCCCCCCCCCCCCCCCCCCCCCCTTTTTTTTGTGTAGTTATCATAGCACCCTAGGGTGGTATATCCGGGGGAATACGGTACCGTAAATGGGCAATTTTTGTACATCCAAGAGGAGATCATTATTTATAGGCTGAGATGCCGGTCCTGTCCATCATCCTCATTTGGTCTGTAGGACCAGATTTAGGGTACATTCCGCTCTGGACACTGTCCCAATCGCAGTGTCCCAATCGAGTGTACCGCTCCGAACCGAACTAAACCAGAGACGCGAAAATTTCGACAATGTTTGAAACTAGGGTGTAATTCGGTGTAATACGATGCAGTGCGGTGGAATTGATTCAGACACTTTCGATTGGGACAGTGTCCAGAGCGGAATGTACCCTTAGAGCGTGTTCCTACGGCCTCCTGTCAGGCCCACCTGATATCAGCTTCAGCAAGACTCGAGATTTTCGTTATAATTCACTGATCTCATGAACAAATAATCTAATTTTGCGCAACTGAAGTTCCAGAGAACTTTCAGACGTGGCGCAACAGAAATCCACGTCAATCCATCACCCTGAAAATGCGAGAGCGCAGCTGTGTTTTGTGGAGTATCGGGCTGCCACACCAAATTCGTGCGGATTGACTCAGTTGACTGGTTCCTTGATTTTGTTTCAAACCGAGACGGAAGAACTACAGTTACGTACCCCAATGTTCCGTGCCACATCAGCCACGCATTTTCGCTCGCTCTCTGCAAAGCCACCGAGAACATCATTTTAAACAGTCAGCTTAAGCCGAAATGTCAGTGATGCGTGCAAGCCTGATAATAGGTTGGCCTGATAGGGGCCCGTAGGAACACGCTCTTAGTTTCCGAAAATACACCCTAAACCAGGCCCCAAAATTCAAAGGTATTTTACCCTGTCTGCCCTTGCTATGGGCCGCTTTTCCAGGAATGCCCTGATTTTTTAAGTGCATTTGCCTAAGGACCCTGACTGAGAAAGTGTATTTTCTTAGTACACTTAGAAATTCAGGCCTTCCCGAGTTTTTCCCTGATTCGTCAGGGTACATTTTAAAAGTACACTGAAACAGTCTTTCTTCGTGTCGTTTCTGTACAACAAGCCTCATTTGGCCACTGGACACAGAAACTTTAAAAACGCCCTCAGTAGTCAATGTCACGCTATCAGCGCAACAAAGCACACCATATCAACACAACTTGTTATCCGTTGCCTCGGCAGCTTTTACAGCCAGCATGACATTCTGCCCACACCACCACGCCAAGGACTGTCCTTGCAGACTGTGGGTGGTGTCGCTCCCTTGTCTTATTGTCAGAGGTCCACTGGTGATCCCCGATTGATCTTAGGGAAGGGTTACAGGCACGTTGGCCTGGGGGGTTATGGGCGCACTCACCCGCTACACAAACAAGCCCTTTTATCCCAGTGGTTAGTGGCTGGGATTCTGACATGGTATCAGAGCGAAGATCTCGGGTTCGAATCCCGGTGTGTGCACCTCGGGCATCCCAGTGCGGGGGGGTGTTAGAGGTCCACTGGTGATCCCCGATTGATCCTAGGGAAGGGTTACAGGCACGTTGGCCTGGGGGGTTATGGGCGCACTCACCCGCTACACAAACAAGCCCTTTTATCCCAGTGGTTAGTGGCTGGGATTCTGACACTTATTGCATGCATGCGCGGCGCCACACCTGCTGGTTGCGCTTGCTGAAAGAATCATTCCTTCCATCAAGTGCCATCTCGTCCACTCCTCCTCCAACCCTTTCTTTCATCTGCTTATGCGCTCTACTAGCACCACCCTTACCATGCCAGACGAGGATCAAGGAGAAGCACTTGCTTCTCCTCGCAATGGCCTTTCCGTTCTCGGGGATTTGCCACGCCAGGGCAAAGCCAATGCCACTCCAGTGTAGGAGCCTCCTCGGCCCAAATCACCAGTCCGTTCAGTCGGCATGGTGTATGCGTGGGAGCAACCGAACTCACCGACTGCTTGGGAGCCACACCCATCCGTGACTCTAATTCTTGGTGGTGACGAGGGCCCTTCGAACCGCGGCGAGAGCACATCGTCAACGGGCAATTACGCGCATGCTAAACGTCCTCGATCCGGTGGTGTGAAATACACCCAACAACTTCTCTGGGGTGCAAAGCCCCCACGCAAACCACCAAGTCCGGCTTGTGTCGCTGCAGAGGAGGCTGAGGAGTTTCCGAAATTTGATGCTAACACTGAGTATGCTATTATTAAACATCCTTTCGATTCTGACTGGTCCTCTCATTTTCCATGGCTTCATTTGCATCGCGCGAAAGCAGGCCCGCCCTTGTTGAAGTGCAACACTTGCATCCAGCATGGCGATCGCGCTGCCAACACGACTTACGACATGAAGGGCGAGGGTGGCCGCGCTCAGCTTGGCAGCATGCGCGCCCATGTTGCTACTTGGGCGCACAAGGCCGTCTTGAAGGTGGAAGTTGAGGCTGAGGCGCGGCGTGAGTGTCAAGTGACTCTTACGCGATGGCAAGCCACGAACGCATCAACACACCACATAATCCCCTGTCTCCACATCGCCATGTTTATCTGTAAGGCGGATGCTCCTATCGCCGTGTTTGTACCGCTCTGCTGGTTTCTTGCCAGAGGGGGACTTCTAGATCTACCGCCTACTGGTGGCTACGGCGCGTACCACACGGGGTAAGTTATACTTATGCTTGTTTCTTTACTGGTTTGTTGTGTGTTCAATCAACAATATGTAAAACTTGCTGTTGTGGCTTTCCTTGTGGTAGCTACGGATTCAAGACGAATATCAGAGCCATGTCGACCTACCTCCAAGACCTTTAGCTACAGCACCTGATTAGCTCACCCTGGATCGAGATAAGCATTGACAAGAGTACCGAGCGCATGCACAGGAATCACCTGATCATCTACGCAACATTTTTCAAAGGAGCTGCTGTGGTCACTGGATTTTTAATTCTACTCACGGTTGAGCACACTGACGCGACTTCTCTCACCTCTGTTCTTGTTCAGCACCAACAACACCTTGGCGTGGATCTTCAAAAGATCATCGGCATCACCACAGATGGCGCGACCGTGATGGTCAGAGTACATAACGACATGGTTGCGAGACTCCGGACCAAGATTCCTCATCTCGTATTGCATCGCGCATAGGTTCGTTTGTATGTTGTGGTGATTTCTTCGGCTTATCGTTCACATTGGTTGTGCTTATGCCTCAGACTCTGTTCGATCCTCACATATTGCCCTTCGTCCCTTTTTTTTACCGCCCACCATCGTTCGTGCAGAGAAGCTTTGGCAGCTAAGGATGCTGCGACTGCCGTACCGGAACTCAATATGGTGGATGATGTCGTGCGCGGTTTCGCTGCCCTTCTAGGAAACAGCCGCGTCCAGCATCAATGCTTCATGAACCTCCACTTCTCCTATTGCCTTACCAATTTGGAGGTTCGGGGCATTCATGCAGTACACTGGTTATCTCGGGGGGAAGCCGTCTTGTGACTTCTTGAAGTTCTCCCGGCTGCAATCGTGCTGATGAGAGACCAGGCGCCTGCATTGTACAAGGTGGCAACATCATTCAAGTTTCATTGGCTTGTGCGGCTCCTGGCGGACGTGCTCTACGAGTTGAATCAGCTTAACGTCTGGTTCCTGCAACGTCAGGTTAGTATCGAAATTGATGTTGTCACACCTTGCTTGCCTATTATCGATTATTTTACACTCTACAACAAGCACTAATGTCATGTTTGTGTGTCACAGGTGGATGTGACCCTATTAGCGCACCTCGTGGATCAGACGCGGATGCGCCTCACGCAACGCTACATCCATGTCCCTGAAGGACACGGATTCGGCCATGGCGACAAGCGTTTGCGCCTCAAGCGTTTGCGCGATCTCTCTAACCTTGGAATCTCTCTCATCAAAGTACCTGCACGATGATGACAAGCATGTCGCGGCCTTCAAGCGCTGGCTGAAGCAGCTCCATGTGCTATTCCGCGAGAATTTTCCCGGTTGCACGCGGCCTGCTTCAAAAGTCTTGTGTTTTGTCGAATCCACAACCTCCCCT